AAAAAAAAAAAAAACCAAAAAAGCCACATAGTGGTCATCATCCTGGCTGTCAATTTGTTGCTTCTGCTGCAGAGACACCATTTTTTCCTGATCTGTGATGATGGAGTTCGGCTTTACATTACTCTTCTGCCAGTTATGGAGGACAATGAAGGACACTGCAGGAAGAAGGGACTAATCCAGGTGATACATTGCACATACTATCCTCACAAATGTGGAATGCCTATCAGGTGAGCTGCCAACCCAAAACCCTCCTCTGAAAACAGGCAATCAGAAGTGTTTTATTGCTCTGGAAATAGCCTCTCCAGATCCTAGCAGCAACTGGAATTAATTATACACTAGTGGTGGAACATGAAATCACACAGCCCCTTTCAAAAACAGATTGAAAGTTTCTAATAAAGGTAATCATATGCCTACTATGACACAACAATCCGACTCATACAGAGATGAGAAAAATGAAACTTTGTGTTCACATAAACCCACTGCATGAACGTTTTATAGCAGTTTTATTTAAAAAGTCAACAAAAAAGTGGAAACCCAAATACTCTTAACCTGATGAATGTACAAACTGTGGTAGGTCTATACAACATACTATACAGCAGTAAAAAGGAATAAACTGTCATTAAATTCATCAACATGCATCTAAATCTGAAATTCATTTACACTAAATAACAGGAACCATAATTGAAAAAATACATATAGCATAACATGTATATGGACAAGTGTCAGAGATTCAAGACTAAAAAGTGGCAGCACTAGGGAATTTTTTGGAGAAGGAGGTGTTTTATATTTTCATTGTGATACTGGTTCTGTGACTAAAGAAATTACTTAGTATCACCATTACGACAAATTTTACAAGCCGATTTGTCTGTATATATAAATTTTTTATAGAACGGCCACCATTATGTATATGCTTTTATATCCTGCACACCACATGTAAAACTATGATTGCTTTACCTCTTGTGAACTAAATTCTTCTGAAGAAATACATTTAGTATAGTACAACACTGTGACATGTAGCTAGGCAACTATCTAAAAACTCCCTTCCTGTTGGGCACTGAAACCACTTCTCCGCTTTCACTATTTCCATAATGTAGCACCACCATCAAGGTACACCAATACGGTGCGCAAGGAATTCCAAAGAATGATTCTGAAAGGGCAATTGGGCCTATGGGAGGCCTAATTTGAAGGCTTTTGCTACCTATAGCCATCATTTCCCAAGCCACTTACATGAGAAGTCAAGAAGATCCCAGTTCACCATGGGGCAGAGGAGCTCTGTATAAACCTCCAGGCCCTGTAGCAGGTGTGCACCCCAAGTACATAAGCAGCCACCAGTCCAGCAACTGCAGCCTCAACTCCTGGCCTAGTACACTCTCCTTGAATGACAAAATTACCAAAAGGACTGAACTTGCCAAAAGCTGCATTGCATTTAGATTAGGTTGCAGGTCTGTGCAAGTCCACCATTTCCATATATCCTCAATGTGAGCCCTCCTTTGATGAAAATCCTGCTTCTCACAGCACCATTTGAGAGGGACATTTTTAAGACATGGTGGGATGTGAGTTAAAATTTTCCGTACTGTTTTCCCATTCATAAATTAAGGATCAAAGCGGTTGTGGAAGATTTTAAAAAGCAATAGAAAAAAGTTCAGTACAACACTACACACGATGCATAATCCAGATTCTTTAGGAAATGACTGCTTTGTATACAAACCAAGCTAAAAGAAAACACACAAAATAAAGAGACTGGTAGAATTCTGAGTGATTTTTGCTTTTCCTCCCAAATTGCTGTTAAAATCCAATTTCTCTACATCAAGAACATACTGCTGTATAATGTGAAAAAATATAAATAAAAATATTAAAAAACATAGTAAAGTAAAAAGAAACCACAAAGATTAAGACAACACAGGTTGATAAGATTTTGTATTACAGGCAATTTTTATATAACAGAACCAAATTAACATTGTGATACCTATCCAAAGTCATGTGCTACAAACGAAGACATTCTTTGCTTCTAGTCCCAGAGTCTCTCCAGTGTGTGAGGTATTACACAGGTTCAAAGAAGGTACACACACTGAAAGCTTCCCTTGTCTTTGACACGCGTAGGACCTGTCATATGTGCAATATATATTTCTCCTCAGTGTATTTTTTCATGTTTTCAACTGGCTGAGACAGAACCGAAGATGTTCCCTCATTTCTTACATTCATAAGGCCTGTTTCCACTATGAGTTCTTATATAGTGAGTAAAATATGAGACGTGCCTAAGGACATTCCCACGTTGTTTACATTGATAAGGCCTTTTTACACTAAGCTCTTTTATGTGTAGTGAGAGATGAGTGGCTAAATGCTTTCCCTCATTCCTTACGTTCATAATGCTTCTCTCCACTGTGAGTTTTTATATGCCTAGTTAGGGCTGAGCGCAAACTAAAGGCTTTCCTACATTCTTTACACTCAAAAGGCCTCTCTCCTCTGTGAGTTCTTATATGTCTAGTGAGGTTTGAGACCCGGCTAAATGCTTTCCCACATTCCTTACATTCATAAGGTCGCTCTCCACTGTGAGTTCTTTTATGTTGAGTGAGAGATGAGGACTGTGTAAAGACTTTTCCGCATTCCGTACATTTATAAGGCCTCTCTCCACTATGGCTTCTTACATGTCTACAGAAGCTTGAGGAATTACAAAAAGATTTCCCACATTCCTTACAATTGTAAGACCACTCTCCACTGTGTGTTCTTATATGGTTAATCAGGTGTGAGGACTGACTAAAGGTTTTCCTACATTCTTTACATTCATAAGGCCTCTCTCCACTGTGAGTTCTTGTATGTGTAGTGAGAGATGAGGACTGGCTAAATGCTTTCCCACATTCCTTACATTCATAAGGTCTCTCTCCACTGTGAATTCTTATATGTGTAGTGAGAGCTGAAGACCGGGTAAATGCTTTCCCACACTCCTTACATTCATAAGGCCTTTCTCCACTGTGAGTTTTTATATGCCTACTGAGGGTTGAGGACTGGATAAATGCTTTCCCACATTCCTTACATTCATAAGGCCTCTCTCCACTGTGAATTCTTGTATGTGTAGTGAGGTCTGAGGACCGGGTAAATGCTTTTCCACATTCCTTACATTCATAAGGCCACTCTCCACTGTGAGTTTTTATATGGTTGATCAGGTTTGAGGACTCATTAAAGGTTTTCCCACACTCCTTACATTCATAAAGCCATTCTCCACTGTGAGTTCTTATATGATTCAATAGGTTTGAGAACTGGCTAAAGGCTTTTCCACAATGCTTACATTCATAAGGCCTCTCTCCACTGTGAGTTCTTGTATGTGTAATGAGGGATGAGGAACAACTAAAGGCTTTCCCACATTCTTTACATTTGTAAGGCCTCTCTCCACTGTGAGTTCTTAAAAAATGTGTAGTGAGGTGTGAAGCACAAATATAGGTTTTCCCACATTCCTTACATTCATAAGGCCTCTCTTGCCTGTGAGTTCTTTTATGTTTACTGAAAGATGAGGAATAACGTAAGGCTTTCCCACATTCCTTACATTTATAAGGCCTCTCACCACTGTGAATTCTTACATGTGCAGTGAGGTATGAAGCACAACTAAAGACTTTCCCACATTCCTTACATTCATAAGGCTGCACTCCACTGTGAGTTCTTAAATGGTTAGTCAGCTCTGAGGAGTTACTAAATGCTATCTCACATTCCTTATTTTCAGAAGGACTCACTCCATTATGAATACTAATATGCTTACTGAGGGATGAGGAAAAACTAAAGGTATTCACATAATCCTTATGATAATATTGCCTTCCACTTTGAATTTTTTTATGTTCAATGAGGGCTGAGAACTGACCAAAAGCTTTCTCGAACTCCTCACGTTCATTAAGCCTCTCTCTACTGTAAGTTCTTTCACGGGTATTGAAGGATGAGGAACAACTACAAGCGATACCGCATTCCTTACATTTATAAATATTCTTTACAGTGAGAGTTTTTACATGAGTGCTTAGGCAAGAGGAACTACAGGCCACTCCACATTCCTTACACTGATAGGTATTGCATCCAGTGCGAGATCTGATGTGACATTTAAATGAAGAATGATACTGGAAAGCTTTTCCACATTCACAGCATTTAGAAGGATTTTCTCTAGCAAGAGTTCTTTTGAGCCCGGTAAGACATGCAATCTTGCTGAAAAGTTTTACACACTGATTACCTTCTTTCTTTTCCTTTTCTTTCCATTCTTTACTTTCATGGAGACTCTCATCTGTATGCCATCTGTCAAAAAGGGACAGCACGTTGCTTGAATTGTTTGTTACCAGAAAATAATTATAGTACACAGTAAATATGTATGTTTTCTGCTCTGAGTCATCTCACGTTGAACAGATTGTCTACTAGAAGTCAATTCTATTATTGTTACATTCTAAATAATGGGGCGTTATAATACCTGCATATGAGTGAAAGGTTTCAAGTACTCAATATCTCATTCGTATTTATGAACATATAGTGTTGTGAAATTATATGAACACGAAATTTTAGTTCTGTACACACACACATCATGATACCTTATGACATTATGATAAGGTGCTGTTCACACTCATAGGAATGATACTCACCTTATATGCCTCCCTTGGTTGTTACACTGCTCTTCAAAGCCATGGAATTCACAAGTTTCTCCTAAAATGGTATACTGGAAGTTATTCTTCATGAATCGCATTATTAAATGTTCAGTGGACACCATTTGTTCTTTATCAACCTTTTGAGAAACTGATCCAATAATTTTAATTATAGTTTCACAATATGAAACAGAATGGTAAGGAGATTTTATAAGGAAGAAGGCACCTGTGAGCAAAGAATGACACTGAGGCATATGGATATTCTGGGATTTTCGCAATGGTCAAAACAGTAAGCAATTTACTAAGAAATTATTTCTTGATGATTGAAAGTAATGCTGTCATAAATAGGGTGTACAGGAAAGCACAGTAGAAAGGTACGGGAAACAATGCATGTGTGCAATGGTAATGTTAAAAGAGAAATAAGGGAGATCTGTTCCCTGAATATAGAAGGTGTAAGAATACTGATGGAAAGGGAAACAATAATAAGCTCAAGTATATGTGGAAGTTTAGCCTCCTCAAACCAAAACTTTTTCAAATTGATTTATTCAAATGTAATTCCCTCCATGCAGGGTTCATCCTTCAAAGGATTCTTGCCTTCCTAGTGCATCCTGACACGATGGCTCTGAATAAGGAAAGAGTAACTCAACTCTCCTTAGGTCTTTCCCCGGGAGAACAAGTGGGTGTGGGTGACATGGTTTTCATGGGGATTGGCAGATTTTGAAGACAGTATAAAGCAAAATTTCCCTGACATTGCATCCAGTGCGAGATCTGATGTGACAATACTTTGGCCACCAGAGTCTCTATAGATGGACTGTTATGAGTTTATTTACCACAAAATAATTCTATCAAATCTGTAATAAACACGGTAAAATTCTAGTGAGGTACCAATCCACAAATCTCTCCGTGTCCAAAGTGACCCCTCAAGCCAGTGCTCACAGACCTCCCAAGCCAGTGCTCACATTTCCAACACCTAAAGACCCTCAAAGATTTTAAAAAGAAGAGATACAAACTCAGTTTAATGTGCAGATTTTTGCATTCAGAGGAACGACTCCAGAGCTAAGCTCCATGAGGGCAGTGAACATTTGTCAGGTGTTCCAATGTATTCCCATTCCTCAACCCAAACCTTGAAACAAGGTCCATTAGTACAATATTTTCATTCACTAATGAAAAAGAAAACTGAAATCCTCCTTACCAACCGAGGCCAGGTTTCTGAAGGTTTCCATCATCACATCTCTGTAGAGTTTCCTCTGAGCAAAATTCAGCAAAGCCCACTCTTCCTCGGTAAAGTCCACGGCCACATCCTCAAACACCACTGAGTCCTAAAATAACCCACATACTCTGGATCAGCAAGGTATCATCTTCCACAATGTGTGTGAAAGCTCAAGTGAGATTATTAGTGCTGGGGAAAAGAAAATTCACAGAAAGGTCACAGAACTCTCTGTGTTCTCCTCTAGAGTTTGGCGACTAGGCTCTTCCTTTTGCTGTCTACATTGAAGTCCTCTTGGTATCCTATCTCATAGGATTAAAAATATATTTCTAAAACACTGAATTTTTCTGTCCACAGTTTGACACTGACCAATTCCGGCCTCATCTCTCTGTATATTTATGTTCCAGAAGAGCCAGAACTGAAGCAGAAAGGAGAAACCCTCTACAAATGAAAGGGTTATTTCCACATTCACATCATCATTTGTGGAAAAAAAAAAACAATTTTACTGCCTTCCGTAAGACCCACCAGAACAGTCAACAAAACAAGTAGGATATTAATATCTAGGAAACACTGATGGACTGGTGGTTTTTCCTTGTGTTCCTCAATAGCCATGACAGGCCTACCAAAACAACTGGTAACTCAGGTCAACAAAGGTAACAAGACCACCTGAGAAAAACTATTCTAAGAATTATAAATTTTTACATGTCTATTACCAATTTTTCAATACTTCAAAAGTTGCACTGTCATCCTCTCTCTTTCATGGAAATAGGCAAGGGGATTGAAAAGTTAACAGAGGGCAAGTGAGAAGACAGTGAACACGAAATTCTAGATCTTCACACAATTATCAAACTTTTAATCTGATTATAATTGACCACTCTACAGAACAAACGGACACCGAAAAACCCACATAAGCACACTCTAATGTATTATGACAAAAATCCCTGCGATGGATTAATTACTTTTGTGTGTGGCCTTTCTAGCCATGGTCTTGTAACTCCCACCCAGATGACTGAGTGATATGGTAATCATGGCCTACCAAAAGGATTGGTCAGTTTTGTATTAAAGAGAGCCAACTGAAGAGCAAAGAGAGGAACCCACCACCCCTAAGGAAGGGGACACCAGCAGGAGAAACCCAGCAGCAGGACACCATACGGTGGGCTTTCTGGCCACAGAGAGAGAAAGCTGAGTGCCGTTGGGCAGACACTGAGGGCCAGGGAGAGGTGTGCCTGTGAGCACAGCTGGGAGAGGCTATCCTGATGGAAGAACTGTACCCTGAGTGTTCTTCAGCCTGAACTGTAACTTACTCCCCTTACAACGAGCCCCATAATCGTGAGTACGGCCTTTGAGTTCTGTGTGGCCATCATGATGAATTATCAAACCCAGTAGACAGTGCTGTGGGAGGGATGATTGGTGTCAGAGTTGGTAAGGATGGCAGAGACGGGGGTTTGTCTGACCTCCACCTCATAGGAATCAGACTTGGGCTGTTGATCTTGGTTCTCCTTCTCCCTTGTGGGGTTGGAGATCAAATACTGCCCCAAAGCCAATTTTACAACCCTTATATCTACAAAGGGCTTAATAGCATGGTCTTGTATTTGCTGACCATGAAGAACACGTTAAGATTCCCATTTTAAAAGGAAGTTAATTGAAGTGTACAGGGTTTACCAGTTAAACTGCCCAAGAATCGTAACAAACTTACATACCTTCCAGGTAGAGATTCCACTTCAAAATTTTTTACATTGGCAGTCCACAAAAGGAACATGACCAAATGATTACTTGAAGCCTGATGTCTGCAACCACCTGAAGTGTAAGGATTAGACTCTGAGAAACATTCAACAGAATGGCTTCCACATGCGGTGAGGAGACAAAAGGCTGTTATATAACACTTCTGATGCTAACACTGGACTGAGCAGCTGAGCAGCTGTAGAACAGGAAGGCTCTTCTTGGAAGGGAAGTAGGTGATGTGAGTTGCCTAAATCATCTCCAATCATTCCTGGTATAATGGTGTAAAACAAGTTTCCATCAACAGACAAAACCCAAGTCTCCTCCATTACAGGTAACCAGGTTATGTGTTTTAAAGTCATGAAAAATCCCGACACATATTGTTATTGTTGTTGTTAACTGCCATCAGGTCGGTTCCAACTTACAGCAACTTCATGTACCACAGAATGAAACACTGCCCAGTCCTGTAGCATCCTCACAATCACTGTTATGCTCATGTCCATTGTTGCAGCCACTGTGTCACTCCATCTTACTTAAGGTCTTCCTCTTTTTTGCAGACCCTCTACTTTACCAAGCACGATGTCCTTCTCCAGGGACTGGTCCCTCCCGATAACATGTTCAAAGTATGTGAGATGAAGTCTCGCCATCCTTGCTTCGATGAGCATTCTCACTGTGCTTCCAATGAGCATTTTCGCTGTACTTCAGGACAGATTTGTTCATTCTTCTGGCAGTCCATGGTATATTCAATATTCTTTGCTAACACCATAATTCAAAGGCATCAATTCTTCTTAAGTTTTCCTTATTCATTGAACAGCATACACATGCATATAAAGCACTGAAAACACCAAGACTTTGGTCAGGTGCACCTTAGTCCTAAAGGTGACATCTTGTTTTTAGCACTTGAAAGAGATCTTTTGTAGCAGATTTGCCCAATGAAATGAGCCTTTTGATTTCTTGACTGCAGGTTCTGTATCGATTGTGAATACAAATAAAATGAAATTCTTGACTTCAGTCTTTTCTCCCTGTGATATTCCATCATTTTGTCATCTGATGTGATTTTCTTATGTGTTGTAAATCCTATCTCCATGCTGCTGATGAGATGGAATTTGTGGCACTTATGTTAATGAGATAGGACTCAATCTACAAGATTTGTTTGTATCTTGAGCTTGTCTCTTTTGAGATATAAAAGAAAGAAAAGAGCAGAGACATGGTGACCTCATACTACCAAGAAAACAGCTCCAGGAGCACAGCATGTCCTTTGGACCCAGGGTTTCTGTGTGGAGAAGCTCCTACACCAGGAGAAGATTGATGACAAGGACCTTCCTCCAGAGCCAAGAGAGAAAAAGCCTTCCCCTGGAGATGCCACCCTCAATTCAGACTTATAGCCCACTAGACTATGAGAGAATAAGTTTCTCTTTGTTAAAGCCATCCACTTGTGGGATTTCTGCTATACCAAGCAGCACTAGATGACTAAGACAATGCTATAGACAGAGGCACCATGCTGTCCCTCTGCAGCAAAGACTAGTAAAACAAACGTCAATCCTGGAACCCTAAGCATCAAATGAAGGAATAAAGAACTCGCTCAAGCAACAAATGGAATAAGAATCTGACAGAGAACAGAAAATGAGGAGAGCTATGGAGTGGAGGTCCCCTACCAGCTAATGAAGCACAGATATGCCATCTTGTACCGTAGCCATCAAGGAATGCAAACAGGGAATACAAGAAGGTAACTTCATGGAGTTCCCAATGAGAGACAGAACACCCAGTGACCAGGGATACACGCTTTCCCAATCCCTACGCTTCTGAGTATGTGGCCTCTGTTGCTTTCCAGTGGGCCACAGTTGCTCAGCCGGAGAGACGCCAGCTCACTGCCACCCTGATTCGCCATCTTGGACCTCAGTCTCCAAAGACTGCGGACAGGGAGTACGGGAAAGCAACTTCAAGGAGCTCTCAATAGGAGACAGAGCATCCAGTAACCAAGGATACACACTTTCCAAAACCCCACCTTTCTTCACTCTATGCAGCCTCCACTTCTTTCCAACAGGCCATGGTCACTTGGCCAGAGACACAAGCTCACTGCCACCTGGGTCCGCCTCGAACCCACTGGATGGCCCCTTCAGCACCACTTTTGTTGCTTTTCCCTTTCTCTCTTCCTTCCTTTCCTCCAGCCCAGCTACCCCATGTGCCATACCTTCTCCTTCTTGATGGAGTGTGCCACAGTACTTGGCTAGACTGTCACTGGTACACGGTCGCCTAAAGTAGGCACTGCCATGCCAGCTGTCTTAGTCATCTACTGCTGCTATAATAAAAATACTACAAACGGATGGCTTTAACAAGGAAGGTTTATTCTCTCACAGTCCAGTAGGCTAAAAGTCCAAATTCAGAGCATCAGCTCCAGGGGAACGCCTTCTCTGTCGGCTCTAAAGGAAGGATCATGTCATCAATCTTCCCTTGGTCTGGGAACTTCTCTGCCCAGGAACCTCAGGTCCAAAGGATGTGCTCTGCTCCCGGCACTGCTTTCTTGGTGATATGAGATTCCTGTGTGTCTCTGCTTGCTTCTATCTTTTATATCTAAAAAGAGATTGATATAAGACACTATCTGATCTTGAACACCTCATCAGTGTATAACTGCTGTTCATCCAGTGTAACTGCTGTTCATCCACCTTATAACATCGTAGTGACAGACTTTACAACACTTAAGGAAATCACATCAGATAACAAAACGATACACAATCGATTACACAATACTGGAAATCATGACCTGGCCAAGTTGACAGATACTTTCTGGGGACACAATTCAATCCACGACACCGGCAGACTACCCCCCCCACGATTTATTATTTTTATTTTCCAGCTTCTGCTTTCTCTCCCTTCTTTTTTTCTTTATCCAGCCCAAGAGCCCAATGACCTGCACCCACCCTTCTCAACGGGCAGTGTTACACTGCTCAGCTGGCCAGTCACTGGCATGGAGCCTCCCCAGGTGCACGCTGTTGTCATCGACCGGCTATCTCACTGCCATTTTATTTACTGTTTTTGTTGCTTTTTCTCCTCTTCCTTTCTTCTTTTCTTTTCTTCCACCCACCTAGCCTTGTGCACCAGTGTCCCTTCTTGGCTGGCTGTGCTGTACTGCTAGGCTGGAAAGATTGTGGCACATAGCCTCCCCAAGTCTGCGCTGCTCCCACAGGTAGGCTCCCTCAGCATATTTTTCATTTTTCTTTATATTTCCCTTCTCCCTTTTCCTTCCCCATCCAACCTAGGCCCTGCGCAGCCTCCGCCCCTACCTGACCGGCCGTGCCATACTGCCTGGCTAGAGAAACAACTAGCTGCCACTCCAATTCCAACTCACCCCCAACAACCCGTTCCCCCAGCTTGTTTTTTTCTTTGTTGGCTTTC